GGCTTTGCCCCACCGGTCACTTCTCATTGGAACTTCGGGAATACCTCTCGAAGCTAGTCAACAATGAGCACCAGTTCAATTGAATTTTGAGGGAGTTGTGGGGGTTTGGAAATATTTCAAGGTGTTATTCATCGTAGACTGACATCAGTTGGAGGAACAAAGGGGGGCGGCAAAGCCTGATGGTCGTGAGGACAGTTACTCAACGATGACATTGGGTGGCAGTTGTGCTATATCGTGAGCTAACAGAAGTTGGGAATATGGACGACTGAATTCTGACCCAGTGGCTCAATGGTAATGTGCTGGCCACGGAACCTGAAGGTCGCGGGTTCGATCCCCGGCAGGATGGGGTCGTGGGTGTGCACTGTTGAAGAGTCCCATACTCGGATGAAACAGCTGTCCAGTGCTCCCAGGTTTCCTTTGTTCATCCAACTGATGTCAGTCTACGACGAATAACAACCTGATTCATTATTACTATTATCGTTATCACCATAATTACTACCATTCATTTTCATTCTATTCAGATAAATCAGTGAAAAAAAAATTCGTTAATGCTATTCATCCTTACATATCATATACCCAATTAGCTTACAAAATTACTGAATGACTATAAAGTCACTTTGTCTCGGATTTACAAAAACGGTGAACATGAATATCAATGTAAGCACACACAAAGCGATTAAATTACACATTTTTGGATTCATTTATTGGGCGTTGATAATTTGATTTCTGACTATTTCCTTTAGAGAAGACTTCCATGCCAAATATGATTGGAATTATTTTATTTGAAGCACACTGTGACTTACACAAACATAAATCATATCTGAAGTCAACTTCTTATTCAGAGCCTAATTTATTTGCGATACTGTTCATTCAAATCTCGATCATATTTCATATAAATGAACAATTAAGAAACTTTATTTATTTACTAACGAGTTCACATAATTTTCCAAGTTCTGTTTTGCTTTAATTGGTTAGTATATAGCATATCATGTACATAAATCAACTTGATAAGCAATTTGTATTTGTCAGCGATGATTAAAGATTGGCACGTTACGAAAAGCATTTCCAACAAACTATAGATATTCATCAACAACTACCTACACTGGCTCGATACTGAAGCTCAAATGGCCAGAAAGAATAAGCAACAAAGAACTCTGGTCTGGCAACGAACCAACCAACAACCCATCGCTCAACAAATTTGCAGAAGGAAGTGGACATACATTGGACATGGACTGAGAAGACCATTGGGGGACATCATGCGACAGGCCAGGCACTTGAGTGGAACCGAGATGGGAAACGACGAGTTGGGCGTCCGAGGTGAGGGTGACATGGAGGAGATTGTATGAGGAAGAAATGAAAGGCTATGGGCAGTCGTGGAGCCAGGTTGAAAAGATTGCAGAGAACAGAGTGGAATGAAGACGTGCTACTAAAGCCCTATGTTCCACTAGGAACCCGTATAACACAACAGGTCAGACTGCAGTGCTGTATATTCGTCCTTTAATAAACAATCGGATATCTTGCCGGATGCCATCAGACATGACCAAATTAAGCAGTTTGGCCCTTTTATATTCGCACCAAGCAAAATATTAAGCCACATAATCCTAAAGAGACTAAACGAAATGCTCTGGATTCAAAATTACGACCGGAACAAGCTGTCTGCCCTCAGGAAAACAAATCATAAATGGATCAAATTGCAACGCTAAGCATCATTGTAGAACGAACACAGCATAGAATGGCAGTCAACTCTCCATACTTTGAAAAGGCTTTCGACAGCATCGACTGAGAAGTAATTTGGAAACTGCTTCAACACTACGAAGTACCACACATATTTACCAACCTCATTCAACAGCAGCTATATGATGATGCTACATGTCAAGTGACTCACAATAGAAAGCTCAGTGATGCCTAAGAAGTGAAGACAGGAGTAGGACAAAGCTGCCTACTATCACTGATGATCCTCCTGATTGTGGTCGACTGGATCATGCAACAAACTGTGAGGAGCGAGAAGATGGGCATACGTCGCCTTGACCTATGTAAAGACCCCATAAGAAGATTTCAATTTCGCCAATGATGATTTATGTCTAATGTCGCACAAACTCGAAGATCTACAGGCGAAAGCTTACAAGCTGAAAGAAGAGGCCGGGCAGCAAACACGGCACTTCCTTCAGGTGAATGTAGAGAAGACAGAGGTGATGAAGATTCTCAACCAACAACAACAAGTACCAATCACCACCAACCAGAAAAATCTAAAGTAAGTAGTCTCTTTCACTTAACTGCCTAAGTATCATCGTTTCAACTATAGACGGCACAGATGAGGACGTCAAAACCATGATCGGAAAAGCAAGACAGGCCTTCATTAACCTGAAACTAGTGTGATCTACTGCACTCAGAATAAAGCATGAACAAGATCCGGATTTTGAAAGCTAAACCAGTCAAATCAGTGCTTCTGTGTGATGGTTCAGAGACTTGGCATGTTATGAAAAGCATTTCCAACAAACAACAAACACAAATCATCAACAACTGTCACCTACGCTCACTCGATACTTAAGATCAGATGGACGGTCAGAATAATAAGAATAAGCAATAAGGAACTCTGGCTGGCAGGCAACGAACCAACCAACAATCCATCGCCCAACAAATATGTAGAAGAAAGTGGAAATAGATTGAATTGGACACACACTGAGAAGACCGTTTGCTGACATCACGTGACTGGCCAGGTTAGGCCTTCGAGTGGAATCCAAATGGGAAATGACAAGTTGGGTGTCAGAGAGTGACATGGATGAGATCATGTGAGGACAGACGTGGAGCTAGGTTGGAAAGACTGTAGAGAACAGAGTGAAATGGCGACGTGCTACTGAAGCCCTATATTCCACTAGGAATCCAAGCGACAAATAAAATATATAATCTGGCAACCTAATAGTCAACTTATTCAACTCGATTAGGTCAAATTTTGATCCTGAAGTCTATAAAACCATTTTCGCGTTCTATTTTTTGTATACAAGCCAATGTTTTTCCCTCTGTTGAATAATAATTAAAAAAGCTTTTCTCTTTTACCGTCTCAAACTTGTTCAATTATTGGGAATGGAGATTACTTTTGCTTCAGAGAAAAATCGATAACTGTATTATAAGTTGATTACTTTATGCTTCATTTCAGACAGATCAGGCAACACCCACTATTCACGCAGTATGTCTAATGATCACTGTTGCGAAAATTAAAGTCTACACGACTGTTTGTATATCTCTTCTTGTTTGTGCACCTACGTGTTTGTACTAATACTATTACTATTATAAAGCAGGACCTTCCCATGCACAATATGCCCTTTCAGTCAAGTCACTATTAGAAATGAATTCACGCTTCATTGAACAGTAACACATATAAACAAGAATAAAAAAAAATATTACCAACTGGAACCAGTGACCGTAGAGAAACGCTTCACTACACCAAACGACGAGATAGAATCATGAAATAAATCAACAGGAAAAAGAAAACACCCTAGACTGAACTGTAGAATGACAAGAACGAGCCATATTGGAATAGACATATAGACGTATGTAGAAATGACCGAAATCTGCTGACTAACAAAATCAACGTAGAACCTTGCACACAATCACCTCACTTCAAGTTCCCACAACTCACAGCAGCTCGCAAAGATCAGATGGATAAAAAAGAGCAATACCAAAGTAGACTAAGTTGTGTGACAATAAACAATCCGAAGATAATAGTTAGTGCAAATATTCAAGCTTTACAAGACGTCAAGGAGGGAATTCATCTGCACTACTGTGACTGGTTCTCACCCATGCTACCAAGAGTTCTCAACCACAGATTACCGTCGTCTCCGGGACCCCTACCAGATAGTCTACATCTCCTCATATGACTCAGATCAACAGTGAGAGACTTCACAGACTGATGCCAGGTTTTGTTCTGGCCACATTGAACCTTCTTCTAACCTAATCCAACACCGCTCACCAGCATGGCACATTGAGGTAGACGGTGACTCGGTACGCCAAGCCATCTCAGTCAGTGCACGTATCCATCAATCTCATCAATCGACTTGCGTATCTTACTTAGTACCCTCCGCCTGACTGACCTCAACATTGCTCATACAGTGACTACACCAAACGTGAGCGATGCTACGAAGACATCTATGATCAAAACCTTGTAACGGCTTCGTATCTTCTACTTTCAACAGCCATGTCTCACAGCCGTATAACAGGACAGGACGGACTGTAACGCAGTAACTTCGTCCATTGGTAAACAGTCGGATATCTCGCCAGTCGACGCTACAGATGACGGAAGTCGGCAAATACCAAACGAGCCTTCCGTATTCGAGCTGAGATTTCTTTAGCAGCCGGCCCGTTCGAGCTGATGCAAGGAAGTGAAGTGGTCGGCATACCGTATGAGTAGTGAGAATATTGACCAACTAAGCAATGGAACTTTGTTGTACCATCATGGTGCCAAAGTGATAATAATTTAAAAATAACAAGAATTATTTAAATCCGAAATGCTAGCAAAGCAATCTCCTAAGCCGGTAGCATATGCAGATAGTTTGTTAAGGTTTATCTTAATGTGTACACACCCACCCATGGTCAACTGACATTTTCCGTCTCTTGAACTGATTTTTATAGCTATATTTTTAGAACTTGCGGTCTAGCTACATATAACCAGATACATTTTGAACCTTTTCCCCCTAAATAACCATATGTTTTCTAATCAATATACTGTTCTTTCAAGCGTGTTTAAGCGTCTAAATATGACTTTTAGTCAGTAGTTCGTGATCACTTTTTACACGTAAGCAAGGTACTGATCAAAGTGGTACTCGTGCACATTAGTTTATTTAAGAATGACTAAGTTTCAGCTAATAATAGCTCAAGTGGATTCTTACAAAGCCATTAACGGTTGTTCTTGAACATGTAATAAAACTACAGGCTTTAAAAACAATTTATAAAATAATAGCAATAGTTTTAGTGGTAGCAAATTAAAGCTCAACACATCGACTTACTTCACGTACGAGGTGGAACAGAAAGGGTGCTGCCACAAGCCAAAACCAATCAACATTCGTATTCCATGATAACAGTTCTCGAGAACCATGAGAATTGTATAGGTCGGTATACCAACACACGGATGTTTCGGAAGGGTACCACCTAACTCTGCAAACAATAAAAATAAATATTTGAGGAGAATAATTGCCATAACTTCATAAACAATTGCTATTAAACATCGATAACATGCAATGCCTTTCTTTAGGATAAAATTGTGGGACTGTGGCTCAGTGATTAGAGGAAATGACTACCAACCAATGAGTCATTGGTTCGGGCACCGCTCTACCTACTGAGGTTTGGGCAGCCGGGTATTATAACTAGCCTACATACAATAATTGTGGCTCATTGCCTAATGCATGGACTTCCACAAGGTGGATGAGTGCGTTTCTTTCGTTCGTTTTGAGGATGAAATATTTACTAGGAATATAAAACATGTGCATGAATATGCTAAAACATCTGCAGTATTTCAAACAAATGCATGAAATTCGTTCCTTAAAGAAATAATTATCCTTTCATGAACAGTTCGAATGCATAAGCTGAGTATACGATAACGGCAGCTACACATATTATATTGAATCTTAACATTTGGTAAAATAAACCACTTTCGATAACGGAAACAGAAATGACAATAAACAGAGGGAGTGGAATCGGTTGTGATGTGAAAACATAGCCACTGACAATCTGAAGCATTAGTTGCTGCATAGCGTTCTAAGCCAATTTATGAGGTTGTGAACCTTCATCGACTGAGGTAGCTTGAACATATAATGTGCATACCGAGTCACCGTCTACCTCAATGTGCCATGCTGGTGAGCGGTGTTGGATTAGGTTAGAAGAAGGTTCAATGTGGCCAGAACAAAACCTGGCATCAGTCTGTGAAGTCTCTCACTGTTGATCTGAGTCATATGAGGAGATGTAGACTACCTGGTAGGGGTCCCGGAGACGACGGTAATCTGTGGTTGAGAACTCTTGGTAGCATGGGTGAGAACCAGTCACAGTAGTGCAGATGAATTCCCTCCTTGACGTCTTGTAAAGCTTGAATATTTGCACTAACTATTATCTTCGGATTGTTTATTGTCACACAACTTAGTCTACTTTGATATTGCTCTTTTTTATCCATCTGATCTTTGCGAGCTGCTGTGAGTTGTGGGAACTTGAAGTGAGGTGATTGTGTGCAAGGTTCTACGTTAATTTTGTCTATCTGTTTTCAATATTCCAAACAAAAATTTTGCAAGCAACAGTAGTTTGAGCATTCGATTATGAGTCACTGAGTGACAGCTGAGAAAATCAGTTTGGCGTAGCCAGCTCAGTAGTTTTATATCTCTCTTCATGATGAGTTTGAAAAAGAAGTATATAATTTTATAAAAAGTTACCATGATTAACTTTAATTCACCACAAACACCACAAAAGATGGTGTCACAGGCCGCAAGCAAAACATTCGACAACTGCAAAACACACACCAGGCATTCAGATTTCTGCTCAGTGTTTAGAAGACTGCATTTTACAGCCGACTTGGTTTGGTTTAACAGGACAGTGTCATCAGCGTAGTCCATACCAACTAAGTGATCTACAAGGAGTAAGACAATCGCTGTTAAGTCGCAGACACATAGAGCTTTGATCACTGGTACGTCCATCTCAAAGTTAAACAGGAATTGTGGCAGATGGCACCTGTTGTGTACACCGTTGGTTGTCGTCACTTTAAATGGCAACTCCCCATCAGCACATACACGGTAGGCGATTACGAATAGGTGTCGACAAGCAACATGAACCTTCCCAGTTCTTATAGTTCCATTCAATTGGATAGGACACAGATAGCTATTGAGTGGTACTCAGCCGAGAAGTGTACATTTTGCGCAATACTAGATGGCTGTACCAGCAAATGAGAGTTCACAGATTTGAAAAGTATTAATATTCATTGAAAAAGGTATCAACAAAGTTCTATGCATAACAACATCAACAATGGAATAGAAAAAACAAATAATACCACAATGTTCTCGGAGTTTATTGATCTTTTGTTTCAAAAAGTTAACACAGTTTACCAAGGCAAATACGTGGATGCACAGAACGTCGTCAGTGGAAATTGGTTCTTTCCAAGCTAACAATGATCCAAAATTGACAACTTAGAACAAACGCGTATACGTTTATTATTTAGGAATCAGAATGAACAAGCTGAATTGCCTACGAATTAGTACTAGGGTCTCTGCTTTTTAGAGCATACATAAACGACTTGCCTCAATGGGTTTCTCCTGAAATACTCCATTTCGCCAATGACGTGAAACTATCGAGAGAAATCAGATAGTGTCTCCCTACAGGAAGACTTAATCTGACGTCGAAACTGGGCAACCAATAACTGGCTTGCACTTAAGCCTGAAAGTGCAGCGTTGTATATCTAATACATGGCGCATAGCCTCAAAGGAATGAATCGAAATCCTCTCAGCAACTCCATTTCTACGGCATGGAACTGGGAGCGCCACATAAGGAGAGGGATTTGGGCGTCTTAGTCCCATAGGGCTTAAAATCTCATGCCAACTGTGGAGGAAATACACTTAGTGCAAACTTGGCGCCAGTAACTCACCGAGGAATTTTCAGCAGCTTCATATAGCCTCACCCTGAGTGTGGGACAAAAGTCTTTCCTTCCTCTCTCCAAAATGATAAACAGGTGACTTTAAAGACCACCCTAGAAACTGAGAGAGCTAATTACATTCCTTTATTTCATGGAAAAGTACTTTCCAAGTCAAAATATCGAAGCCTGATTGACCATTTCAACAGTTGCTAGGGTGGCTTTTAAAGTCACTTTGACAAACTAAACCTAGAATGGATCTAGAGGCTGCCAATTAGATGCACCCCATCACTTAAGTCTAAAACGAATAAAAAGCGGCTGGTAGCGGTCAAACTATATTCTCTGAATACAGAATACTAAGAAGCTACTTGATAATGGCTTACATTATCTTGAACACTGCTAGGCGCCTAGATTGACACCTACTGAACCTAAGATGTACCATCAACCTTAGAAAACACACAAAAATGAAGCCTAGAAGATATCAGGTATGATTTCAGACACAACTTTTACCACCTAAGAATTACCAAATCTTGGTACGTTCTTCCTGCAGAAGTGGTCCAAGCCACTTCGCCTGAACCCTTTAAACGCGACTTGACAATTAGTTAATATATGGATAGGAGTTCACCAAAACATCAACTTCATTTTACGATTTGAACCATGACTTTCTTCCTCCCATTATTGATACACAAGTTAACCATGTGAACTAGTGATCCACTGACTAGATGCGGAAGCTATTTAGACGAAAACTTTTATTGTTAACAACCACTTGAATTATGGTAATGAAAGAAAGTGAGATCAACCCAGATGACTTACAGGAATGAAAAAAGTGCTGGAAGTACATGGATAAAGGAAGAGGTAAGCCTCTGAATATCATGAAGTACGAGAGCATTACGAAAAAGAAATGTTCCCCATAAGCATGTGCATTGGCAAGGCCAAATTGAAACATCTGCAAAATGCCTGATTGAGGCATCAACCTTAAAAATTAGGAATTATGAAAAAATGCATGTACCACACGAAGATCAACGACACATAGTTTATAAAGTAACATTGATCCAACATAAACAAAAGATACTTGTTTTTCCTGAACCGTCATATTATCAACAAATAACATGTACCAGTAGTTATAGAGACGCAATAGGTAAAGAATGATGAAAAGGACCGAGAAGGTATACAATATGAGAGCAGGTCTGACAATCGCAAAGCACACTGTTGTTAGAATGATGGACATCGCACCAACAAAGCAAAGTTTCTCACATAATTTCATCTGCATATAGAAATATAAGTAATTCAAAATTACATTCTTGACAGAACTGCTGAACCGTGACATTTCAAATGTTTAATTAAATGTATCGTATCCCTACGACGAAAAGCATCCAAGACCAAACATTGCGCTTAAGACACTTGCGCAATTATGACCTAAAGTTAAACAAGTACTGATGTAGTAAAAGTGAAAGCTGCTGTGGCTGACTTTGATGAACTTTTGCTTCAGAAAAGTGAATGTGCCGATATATTAACTTAGTTTATATGAGTGAAGCGCAATGTGAAAGTCAGTCATGCGAATTAAAAGAGATTTATAGTTTTGGATTTCTCACTTCTTGTTCTTTAGGCGTAGTCTGTTGCTGGCATAGTTTCGTTGAATTATCTGCTCTAAACTAATGGGAACTGGAGGTTATCCGCGGAACTCTTATTTCCTATTGACTGGTCGCCTATGAGGAGAAACCATGGAGTTGTTGGTGAGAATAAAGGCCCTAAGATCAATGTCCGTGTCGACAGCTACATGCAAGTAGAGATAGTTAGGCGGGGAAAATAAGAAATAGTTGGCACTGAGATTAGCTAGGGTAATTACGGTGGGTCAAGGGGGACTAGAACGCTAAGCGTACCGTATGAACTTTGATAGGAAACCACACTCCAAGGCATCTCAGTCCACCTTTCTTTCGATAGGCTATCGGTAATGCCGTCGTTACTCCTTGTGACGACGAACTCTATGAACCAAGAACTAAAGCGAAAGGAAGCTGAGCCCATTCCTAGTGCTGTCTTCGAGGTGGGCTTTTCTGAACGGTTCCATAGCTACGGTATTTCCTACGCTGGGAGGCTCGACTTATTCAGGTGATTGGCGTAGTGAACCGTCATATAGATCTAGATAAAGTATCCTCTTTCGAGACACTGATCTGTTTGCATTGGGCTGAGGGATTTAAGGTGGTTGAGCGAGTCTTTCGACTTTGGCTTTTCTTGTGACTTCCTCAGTTTTCCCTGCGGTTGCTCAGATTCAAGCAGCAATGAGTCCTTGTAAATACAGCCTGATGTATGTATGTGTGTATTAAAAAAATGTTGTGAAGCAGTTATAAGGTCAGGTTTGATTGCATCTGAAACCTTACCTATCCACTCTCCATTTTTCAATACAAGTCCGTTTCACCTCTTTAACGTCAGTCGCTATCTTTTGCTGATTATCTTATGTTAACAGACTTAAGTACACCCTGTAAAAGTCATCAGCTCACATTTTCCTTCCGGACGTTGCTATTCACTCCGGAAGTCACATTCTTCTACGTGCCTTCTCGAAACAACGTATTAATGGGTCAGACGGAAATCTAATAGCAGCTAGTCGTTGTAAGGGTGCTAAGTTGCTCACACTGGATATTTATGATTGCAATTGCATTGGCCGAAATTCGCTTACACTTAGTGCTATTATTCACTTTATGAGAGAAGCTGAGTCTGGAGTCTTTTCGGTGATATTTCCTTTGGAGACATGTGCGCTAGTTTTATATTGAGCTGTAGCAGCTTCTGAAGTTCTCTAGCGCTTCTTATTACATTTTTCAACCCTGCGGCCCAATTTGCTCTTTTGGATTTCAGAATCTAGCGGTATCCGGCCTTCCTTGAGCAAACAAGAGTTTCCTACGTCTGTAGCCATCCGAACTTCACGTCGGCGGTTTCAGTACAGAGTATTTTTCAAACAAGTCATTTACGAACGATGGGGATTACATTATATTTATTTATACTATCCCATATTTTTTATTATTCTGTTGTATTATCCGCAAGGAATGTATCTCACTATCATTCACCGCTTTCCAATTGGTCGTCTATGCTTATACTGTGGAAAATTTCTGGATTTGTAGGCTTTTAAATATCAAGTATTGGGTAGTAGGTTCGGGTAACACTTTATCTATGTTGTGGTGGTCAAAAAGGTAGTAGTTTGCGGTATTTACTTTATTGGATGACATGCAGTGCAACAGACCCTACGTAAACCTCCCTCGGTTTGCTTTGAGGCGAAATTGTCTGTCGCCTAGGTACACCCAAAACCACGAAATATGAGATGGATCAAACAAAGCCAATTCAATTTTTCCTAAGGATGTCACACGAAATGTCTTGAAGACGCAAAATAATGGTTCACTTCCATTGTTACTGGAGTAAGCTGACATCCAGGAGAGGACTGAATAGCTCCAAAAATGGGCTCACACTGTTTTGCGACAGTTCCTTTGGACAGCTGATTGCACATTATTACAACCAGGAGGCTTATCTGGTCTCAGTTCGGAAAGCTGCTCATTGAATCTCTATGAACTAATTTATGGCTAACATTTCCAAGTCGTCAACAATCTGCTGCATACTACCACCACCAACCACGATCGTACTATGTTCATTCAGCTGTAAACTATATTGCAAGCCCGCTGTCCCCCGATTACACACTTCATGTAGTTTTTGCCCTAATTCATCCAGATTTTTCCGTGATTTTTCTAAGAAATTTTCTTAAGGTTCTGTTAGCACCCCTTCAGATTTTAAATGTCAAGAATTCTTGTTACGGGTAATGTAGTGACGGACTAAGATAATACGGAAATGCTTAACAACGCGCGATGGCGGATTTGACGGTGAGGACTTACGTAAACCCTCCTTATCCGAGTAAATCAGACGCAATATACGCCCTTCACCCTCCTCTCCCTTAAGGCCATAGTAATTATCTTTCCCCAACCCCGTATGTGCATATGCCTTATCGGTACTCAGATGCTGAACAAAGTCACCACCTTTAAGCATCTGTAATGCAGCTTAAACTGGAGCGTGCGAAATGTACTGCATAAACCTTCAAAAACCTTCAAATAAACCTCCAATGAGAAAAACAAGCAATCTTCAAATTATACTCGGCATAGAAGCTATAAGAATATAGAGTGGGAACTTCTCATCGAGCTAATCAGGTGCTCTCCATGGGATGACTACTTTACCACAGCCTCATTAACACACACACTCTCACTTTTCTGCAGAAATATAGAGCTGTGTCTAGATACTGTTGCTCCCGTGAAAACAGTTGGGGTTTATAAGGAGCCAGACCCATATCCCTAAAATATTCCGCAATAAACTTAAGAAATTACCACCCGTCGAAAGACTTCATGTCACTGCCCTTAATTCATGGGACTCGCGAATCTATCAAGACACTAAGTGCGAAACAAGCAGTAAACGAAGAGATCATTGCTCTCAAAAGTGGCTCTAGAATACACAAGTTGACATCCCTTGTGAGTAAACATCTGAAGCCACCAACGGATGTGACCTATCTACTACATAATGGGATGGTACACAACGATCCCCTCAAGATTGGTGAACTTTTTGGCGAATCATTCGCTAATTTCAACCCTAGTGCCCTCAACTCCACTAGCTTTACTCCAATTACCGCTAGTTCATGTACTAGAGTGGAGTTCACTGTCAAAAATATCACTGAGGCTATCAAAAGCCTGAAACTGTCTACAGGTACGGGGATAGATGGCCTAAACTCAATAGTCATCAGAATCAGTGGTGGTGATGTGCCGCTGTTCTTGCTTAAGATAGTCACACTATCAATGGAAGGTGGGGAGTATCCTAGCGAGTGGAAAACTACCTTTATAGTTCCTCGCTACAAGTCCGGTGACAAAGCTGACGTTGGGAACCACAGATTTATCAACATAACGCCAGTCGTCTCCCGAATCATGGAAAAGTGATTAAAAGCGGCATGTCTGATAACCTACTTAGCGAAAATCTCATCACAAAGTCTCGGCACGGTTTCATTAAAAACAGGTCTTGCGTTACTTGCCATTTCGACTTCGTCAACCTCATCACTAGTAGCCGTGAGGCACGTAAAATCGTCATTGTTCTATACTTTGAAATATCAAAGGCATTTGACAAGGTGTCACACAATATTCTCTTTGATAAGCTACAACCGATTGGCATCCATGACCCTTTACTTCATTGGCTAAAATCATTTCTTAATGATCAGAGCCAAATCGTCAAAGTAAATTCTATGCAGTCTACACCTAGGCTCATAACTAGTGGAGTGATGTAAGGTAGTGTCCTTGGACCTTTGTTGTTCATAGCTTATTTTAATAGTGTGTGCAAGTGCTTCACTGTAGGGAAACATTCCTATACGCTGATGACCTTAACGCTGTATACTAATGTAGCACCCATGAACTAGGCAATAGGCTATCTACTGCTTAACAAGAATCAGGTGAAGTTGCTTAATGGTGTGACGAATCCCATCTCCAGTTCAACATTGATAAATGTGGTTGGCTTAGCACAGGCAGCGATAACCTAGATGTGTCTCTCGAAGTATGTGGGCAAAAGCTACCTAGACATTCTTCAGTGCTAGATCTTGGTCTTAGATATTCCACTGACTTAACACTTCCTGAGCAGACGGCTTGTATCACTTCTAAGTCACGTAGACTCCTTGGATGCATCGTCCGTAACTGTTGTAGCACTGAACCAAGGGTCCTACTCCACAAAGTGAGCGTCCGTCCCATTTTAAAGTACTGCCCGTCTATCTTAAGCCACCTTCTTATAAGCGACAAAGGAAAGATTGAAGGAATACAACGCCACTTTACACAAAGAACACTAGGAGCTGACTGCAGCCTAGACCACATCTCGAGATGCAACATGCTAGGACTGGAACCACTCTGGAAGAGGCGACTTAGAATGAATCTTATATTTTACCATAAATTACTTCGTAAGCAAGTGCACTCATATGGCTCGGAAATTAAAATAGTTGTAACATCTACTCACTATTTGCGTAATCACAACCTATCAGCTAAAATGAGTGTCGTA